TTTACTGAGTGCTTCACAGGAACAAGGCACTTTGCTAGGGTCTCGGGATGAGCAAAGTGATCATCGTCCCTGCCCTTGGAACACGTGACCTATTAGGTGATAAAAACCAATAAAAAGCTAATTGCAGGAGAGTGGAACAGACACTATTTGGGGAGAAGAAGGGTCCCATGGAAACGGAAGTGGAGCCCTGGGTGGCTCTGGTGGAGCCATTCAGTGAACACTGCGTCAGGAGGAGAAAGGGATGCAGCCGGGCAGCGATTCCAAACCAAAGAGAAGTGGGCACGCTCCAAAGACCCCTGGGCGCTGTCCGTACCCCAGGAAAAGGAAACAAGTGGCATTTGTTCCTCACAGGTCCCCGGCCAGAGCCTTGCCCATTTTACCACCAGGACTTCCCCAGGCAGCGTGACCCACCCTCACTGCCCGCAGCCCCCAGGACCTTGCTGTGGTCCTTTCTAGGTAGCCTCTGGCTTTCTCAACACAGCACGTCTCTACAGCAAGCCACGTGTCTACACCACGAGAATCGGGGCAAGAACCGATGTGAGTGGTCTTTGGCATTCTGGACCTTTATTGTTGTGGATTTGGGGCAGAATGGTCCGCCTGTGGCTCCTGTCTGAAAGGGGCAGGAGGCCGCACGCCCTTTGCCTGCTGGGGAGCCACGCCGTGCACTGTGGAAAGCAAGGCCTGAGTGGGTTGCCTGGGAAGGGGGTTCAAATAGTGAGACAGACCGGAAAGCTCTGCCTCATGAAGAGGGGGGTCTCTCTGGGCTCCTGAGAGCCCGAGAACCATCAGCCCTTGAAGTCACTGACACAGGCTGCTCCCCACAGGGGCAGAGTCTCCCCAGCCAGCACTGTCATTAGCCCGCAGGCCAGTTTGCCCTGCGCTCTGCTCCCAAAGTCAGAACGTGATCAACATACGTCACAGGGCGACCTTCACCCCAGGACCGTGGCACAAGGACGAGGAACCTTGGAGGATTGGAAATGACCAGCCGGGTGATCACTGTGGCGTGCCTTCTAAGGGCACAGACTGGGACAGGAACACATAGGTGGGACTGACGCTGAGCGCTGGCCTGGCTCACCAGAGGAGGCCCTTCCTCCTAGGTACAGAGGTCCTGCGCCAGTGGCGTGTGGCAGTTTCCCTTCATCAGGAGTGTGGACAGTGGAGGGAGCAGAAGACGCCCTGTCCCTTGACCACCCGCTGCATTCTGGGGACAGGTAAAATGAGGCCTGAAACACAAAGAAGACTCTACAGCTCTGACAAAGCTTTACACGGCGGGTGAAAGCCGAGTCCCTGCTGAGAGACAGCCACAAAATCTGCAGTCTCAGTGCCACCTTAGTGCTGTGCGCAGCTGACGTTTGTGTGGGATGTCAAATATTTACAACAGCAAAGCCTTCCAGAAAGGAGCTGATGTGGAGTGTGTCTGTTACGCGTGACAATGTGATAAGCATGTGTTGGTGAGACACGCTTGGATGTGATCTCAGAACATCTGTGAACACGTTTGCCTAGTGAGGACAGCGTGGCAGAAGGTGCAGGGGCACTGTCTTCAGGAAGGAAACTGACCACTGGCCTGCAGTCTTGCCCCTGAGGCACACGTTGTTCAGAGGAAAGAGAAAACAGCACTGGCTTCGTTAGGAATTGTCAACTACTTCCTTTTCAGTCCACAAAACATCTCTCGGCCACTAACACACACAAATGGGACCCACTGCCCGGAAGAGAGGGCTGCGGATACAGGCGTGTTTGCACGCCCCCTTCTTTACGGGCTGCTATTGTGTGTGGGGCCGCATGCAGTGCTCTGTAGATATGCTATTAGTCGGATGGATTACCGCTTCACCATGTCATGGTCACCCAGACGGCTAATGTGTGTGCCACTTCTACATAAGCAGTTTTTTTTTTCTATTCCCAGAATTTGAAACACAAGAGGAGGAAGGAAACAACAGAGAGAGCAACTCAGATGGTGGCAATTTCATTTTTTCTCCTTCAAGTTATTGGATCATTTCAGAAGATGTGCTTCCATGAAAACCTCATGGGCACCACATCCCTGCCTGTGGCAAATAGGCTGAGCCATATTCAACCACCAGAGTCACGTTCGTCTTGAGAAATATTGAATGTACAACTGTCCTCATCACTTCACCAAGTCATTTAAAAAAAAACAATTGTCATGTGCTCAAGCGACCTTTTACATACCCACAAGCAATGCTTGTTAATGTGTTCTTTACCTTACAAACTTCTAAATGTTCACTTCAACATGGGAGAAGACAATAAATACTTCCATTTTATCTGATAGGATTTTTTTCCAGTGGGAAATAATAAAATACAATGAAACAAAGCACCAATGATTTAGAATGAGCAAGATCTGCCTCTGATCTTGGCTTTGTCATTTACCACTTATATGACCTTGGGGAAAATGCCTGAGTGGTTTCAACCTCAACTCCCTCAGCACTGAAATAGAGATGACAGTTGCCACCTAATTGGGTAATTGTGTTAATAAAGATATTAGGTGTAAAAAGTAGTGTACCCCTGACTTGCGTTAGAGACTGAATATTAGTTATTGTTTGACTTCTTATTAATACTAAAATGGCTATTTTATTAACTTCTGGATTCATGTGCAATTCTGGACAAAGAGCCTAGACCAGAAAATTTTGTGTCTGAATTCTGATTATTCTGTGGAATGTGGTAAAAGCCACGTTGTCCCTCTGAACCAAAGTGTTATTCAATGGAAAATTTGCGCACCAATACCTACCTTGCCAGATTGCTATATAAACTGAATGTGGTCATTCTTCAGGGCACATACTAGACATTCAATTATGGTAACTTCTACTATTACTATATTACAATAGCAGTAGTTGGAGAACAGGGAACCATCTGATTTAATACCTTGGAGTCAAACAGTATTTTTTTAAATCTTTTGGCACTGGGATTGAACCCAGGGGTGCTTAGCCACTAAGCCACATCCCCAGTCTCTTTTTAATATTTTATTTAGATACAGGGTCTCACCAAGTTGCTTAGTGGGTATTGCTAAGTTGTTGAGGCTGGCTTTGAACTTGTGATCTTCCTGCCTCAGCCTCCCAAACTGCTGGAATTAAAGACGTCCACCAATGTTCCTGGCTCAAATAGTATTTTTTACAAGGATGGAAAACAGAGTTGTGTTCACTTGCCTTCCTACTGGTTAGTGATGTTCGTCATGTTAGAACTCCAGTATGTATGGAAGCCTCTATGCATGCAATGTTGATCAGCAGAGAATCGGAATTCCAACATGTGCTGATAATTAATACCATTTAAATATCCCCAGATATTTGCACAAAGCCACCAAAAAGATGCAAATATTCTACAGATACTAAACGACTATCAATAACTTAGCATCCCAAATCATCATCATCCAAACATTTTAAATAATGTTGTGTCCATCATTTCAATCAGCGACAGAGACTACTGTGGATGGAGTGAGAGGTGGAGACCTTAGGATCACAAAGGCTTCTCGGGGAGATTATAACATCCCCCTGAATGTAAATCACTTTTAACAGGGATATACAGAAAACCAAAGGAGCATCACATTTATGAACCAATCTTTTTTGAACACGGTGACACCTGTAATCCCAGCAACTCAGGAATCTGAGGCAGGGGGTTGCAAGATTAAGGCCAAACTCAGCAACTTAGTGAGGCTCTGTCTCAAAATAAAAAAATAAAAATAAGAAGCACTGGGAATATAGCTTGGTGGTAAAGCACCCCTGGGTTTAGTCCCCAGTACCAAAACAAAACTAAACAAAAAAATCACCAAGAACCAATTCTTCGGAAACCAAAGAACAGGACTGAGAATATTTGTTTTAAAGTCATCAACGGGTTTTATTTGCTAGAATTGAAATAGTCTACGGTTCTCAGATTTAAACTTCCAAAGCTACAGCCAACAATTTTTCATCAGAGCCCAGCGGAGTAAATAAAAGAGACAAGAGGTAAGAGGGGCACAGAAAGATCTCTAGGGAAGAGGTTGGGAGGGGACACTTGTTTGTCTTCTCAGTAGATTACATATTGAATCAGGTGACAATGGTCAAGGGACCCAGCAGGGGCATGTTGGTGGAAAATAACAGTGCAAGGAAGGCCAAAGCCCTACAACAAAGAGAAAGTCAGTGAATCCCCCCCCCAAAAAAAAAGGGAGCCTCCAGTTCTCTCGGAAATCGGTGACAACGGGACACCCAGGAGCAGAAAGGAGGCACACCCAGGGAGAGTTCTTAATGGTTTAGGAAATTGCTTTCATTTAAAAAGCTTCCTAAAACGTGTCCCTTTTCTTCTATGTCCGAGTGATATATACAACTCTAGGGTGGCCTTGAGGCCGTGGGGAGGTGGAAAAGGAAGCCAGAGGTCTCCCCACCGCCTTTCGTCAGTGACCCCAGAGATCCGAGGAGGAGGACAGCTATTTCGCACCACTCCCACCCAAGAGCACAGCAAAGTGGCGCCTTCAGAACCCCGAAACAGCTCTGGGGCCCCAATGTCTTGATGGACAAAAGGCCAACTCCCCGGAGCTCACTAGGTCAGCCAAAGGATCTGCGCCAGGGACACCCTCAGCGAACTGCGGTCCGGTCCCCCTTCCCCTGAGTCTGCACAACTGGGGTAACAGGTGTGGAGGGGCGGGGAGCTCTGGGGCTCCACTAGATGGCACCTCCTTGCCCTCCAGCAGGTCCCTGGGGTCGCCCGGGCCACTCCTACCCCCATTCCAAGGCAGAGGTCCAGAGTGCCTGGGGGTCGAAGCGACGTCCATAGGTGGAAGGTCGGTCCTGTCGAGGCCGAGGCCCTGGAGGCAGTTCCGGGCCGCAGGGGTGGCCGCGTCCCATCCTGGGAGCAGGGGCCCTGAGTCACACCGCGGCGTGGCCCAGGCGGTGCTGGCCGGTGGCCTGCCGCCTCCAGGCGGCCTGTCCCTCTCCCTGGGCCGGGCGTGGGGCGGGGCGGGCGGGGCGGGAAGGGGTCGTGCGTGGGCCCTGGTGGCTCCGGCAGGGCTCTCCTGGGCGCGGTGCCTACGGGCCGTCGCCAGCCCCGGCGCCCAGGGCCGCGGCCCGCTGCTCAGCCGCCTGCTCCCGCGGCGGCTCGGGCTCGGGCGGACCCCGCTGGGCCGCGGCCTCGGCCTCGGCCTCGCGCTCGCGGGCTGCCTCCGCGCCGTCGGGGGCGGCCTCCCGGGGCCGTTTGGCGGCGTCCTCGGGCGCGCAGGCCGCGCTCCTCTTGGGCGGCCCGGGCTGCGGGCCCTGCGGCTCCTCGGCGTCGCCGTCGGCGGGCTCGGGCGGCTCGGCCTGCGGCGCGGCGGCCTTGACCATGGGGTCGTGCTCGATCTCCCAGAGCCCCTCGCTGAAGCCGCGCCGCTTGTTGGGCTTGCCGAACTTCTCCTTGGACTCCTCGTACGGGAACAGGTGCTTGGGGCCCAGGAAGGCCGTCTCGTGGGTCCCGAAGAAGAACACCTGGTACCGGTTGGGTTCGGCCATCTGCTCCACGCGGGCCGGCCAGTGGGCGTAGCCCTTCAGCTTGGCGAACACCAGGTCCCCGGTCTTGAACTTGCGCCCGCTGTAGCTCGACATGGCGGGCGGGCGCGGCGGCACCGGCTGGGCGACGCGGCAGGTGCGCTGCGCGGCGGCCTCTGAGCCCGCGCGACAGCTCGAGGGCGCCGCAACGCCCGGTCGCAGGGTTCTGCCGCCGAGTGGGCATTGTCTCCGAGATCCAGGGACAGTTGGCCCAGCTGGGACGCCGTGGTCGCCAGGACCGGTTGTGCGCAGGCCCCTGCACTGTGACCGCTGTGACCGTCGCCGAGCCCGCTGTGCCCCCGAGGGGCCTGCAAAGCCAGCGCGGGAGCCACGTGGAGAGAAAGCAGTGACACGTGGGCACATATTTCCATGAATCTTGCAACTGCGTAGGGGGAACTTGCGGGGTCCCGGTGGGCACCTCTCTGTGTCCCACAGAGAACAGGAGCTGCGACGCGATGTCCCTCTGGGTCAGTGGTTTCAACCGTCTTGCGACTTCCTTGGGGACCAGTGCAGGAGGCCTGCAGTGAGGCTCAAGAACAGGGTGGAAGTCTGACCAAGGGATGGACCCGCAGTGCCGTTAGGGAGTCTGGCGGGGAGCATCACTTGGTGACCAAACTGTAAACATTGACATGTTTTCAGGGTCACCCAATGTATACAGCAAAGCCATGATGGTGGCAACCCGGAGTGACCAAGATTTCCTACATTACCTGGAAACGTCCTGTCTTCCACAAACGTCAGCACGTGGCTGTGTGGCTGGGACCGGGCCTTGCAAACTGCCTGCCACGGAGGGACACTAGGCTCCAGGTGCCTGCATTAGGCAGAGGTCTGCTCCTAGCAAACCTGCCAGTAGCCAGGGCTTCCTCCAGGCTGCAACTGAAAAGGCACCATCTCAGTTGAGAAGCCATTTTAAGAAAATTTTCTCAAGATTCAGGTGTATTATAACTGACGTGAATGAGAGTTTTGGTGCCACTGAAGTTCTGGTACACCTTTCCACTTTTTTTTTTTTTTTTTTTAGTTTTGAGTTTTGAATTTTGTTCTACCTACTGTGAGCGTGCTTTCTGACAACTAGCCAAATGTTTCCTAACAGTGCTCTTGGCTCTTGTGCTGGCTTTTATGAGAAAGACCTTTGGATACTAATCCTGTGTTTAACTGGACAGATATCTTTTTTCTAGTGTCACTAGTGGAGTGTTAGAATCATTCACCCATTTTGGTGCAACTCAAAATTGGTTTGGGTTTGCTAGGTTGGATCAGCCACTTATTTCACCTTTGGATAGGAGAGACCTGCTGTGGGCAAAGGGAGATAAGTTGTCCTCACAGGTGGGACAAATGGGACCTCCTTTGCTGATTCCAAACAATTTGTTTTAGCTTTTCTGCTAAGTCATCTTTTTAGAATGTCTTATCTGCCCCACACGTGTGTATAGCTCTAGTAAATAAGTAACATTCACAATGAACCAACAACTTCTTCTCAGATCCACAGTCCCCTACAAATTAGGACACATGTCCTCCTCTGAATTTCATTTGGAAAGTGCTAGAAAACTATACATGCTTAATGGCTGTAGAAGATGTGTGATCATGGGCAGCTAAGGAGCCCACAGAAGGAAGGAATTTGGAATTTGTGTAAGAGGAAATTTTGCTAAGTGGTGTTTTGTTTGTTGGTTCTCAGGTTCTGAATGTGCTGCACCATTGCACAGAGCATTGCGTGAAGGTCTTGCAGGTGGGAAGGAGTCCCGCTAGACACTTTGTCCAGGAGTGGCATATAGTTATGTCATTAGCTCAGTCTGAGGAAGGACCAGACCTGAGACCCACTGCTGCAGATGAGTGTGATGCCAGGCAAACCAACAGCAGCACCAGAGCAAGCCACATGTCCAGGTGGGTGTTCGGACCACAGGGGTAAGCAGCCAGGAGGGTTTTAACTGCGCTGCAGCTCTGAGGGCTAGAACAAGTGACCCAAAGCTACCTGAAACTAAGTGAAAGTACTGTAGGAGACAAAGGCAGGAAGGTCTAGTCAGGAATGGTCCAGCTCTACAGAGCGCCATGTGATTCTCTTAGTCCAGGAGCGTCATTCCCCAGGTAGATCTTGCACCTCGTGTCTAAGACACAGCATGGGGCTAAAAGGCTGGCAGGAAAGATGTCTACCTTTGCAGCATTTAAAATCTAATTCAGAAGCTGAAGCACCAGAAAGTTCATTACAGGGCAATGCAAACTAGTCTTCAAATGCTAAATGATACGTCCTTTATAAACACGGGGAATTCCAGCAGGCGAGTGGCTCTTAGGGCAGACTTAAGGAAGCTGTGGTAGAAGATACTGTGGAGAGAACTCTGGCAGCCTTCACTTGTTTACCTGCCTTTTAAAGCTGAGAGTAAATATAATCTTTCAGATTATATTTGCTGCATGATGTTGAGATGCTTAAAGTAATACTTAGATCTCTTTCGGGATGGTTACACATATTAATGGCATCATGGGCAGGAAAGTTCAGACAGTGGGCAGGATGGTTTATGATGTACTAATGACTGTTAAGTAGAATTTTATTAAAGATAGGACTAGTCTATTATTATCTTTTGGCTAAATGAGAGAAAAGCTATATCGAAAGGAGTAGAATCATGAATAAGGGCATTGAAAAATGAAGAAGTGACCCTGACCAGACAGATTACATATTACACACAAAGGTACACACCCAGCCCTTCTTCTGGATGATACAGACCTAAAATTTCTTGTTACTTAGAAATGTGATTTTGAAAAGTATGTTCTTCAGTTTAACTTCTCGGCTCATGGTAACTTATTTCAGGAAGGGGGAAACAGGAGGAAGGTTGAGTCATGAGAATAGGAAAGCAGTTATTGGGTTGGATCTGGAATGTTCTCAGAAAGCTCATGGTTGGAATGCCTGGCTCCCCATGCAGCAGTGTTCAGAGGTGGAATTTTTAGGCAACAGTTGGGTCACGAGGACTCTGAGCTCATCAGTGGATTAGTCCACTGATAGCTGGATGGACCACTGGGGGTGGGACCAAGTTGGAGTAAGCACGTCTCTGGGGCCCACCTGGGAGTGTCCATGTTCTCCCTGGCCAGTTCCCCACCATGAGCAGAGCAGCCTTCCTCTGCCACCTTCCACCATAATGTTCTTCCTCACTCAGGCCTAGAGCAGTGGAGCCCTTATCATGGGCTGAGGACTCTGGAACTGTGAGCCAAAATGAGTCTCTCCTCCTCTAAGTTGTTCTTGTCAGTGTTTTGATTACAGTGACAAAAAGCCAGCTAACATGTGCATGGTTAGTTCAAAACAAAGTCCCCATGAACAATTACAGTGACTAACTTTTAAGAACCAGATCTCCATGAGCCCACATGCTTTTAATAGGTCAGGATGTCTCAAAAATCCAGTGTACCGAGTGCACCTGTTTGCAAAGATGACAGTTTGAGCAGCCTCGTACCTATCAAAACAACACCTGGGAGACCAAAACATAACACTTTCCAGTTTCTTTTCTGGAAAACTAATGATGGGATTTAAAAGCTGCTTGGCAACAATTGTGAAACATGGGCAGTAAAACAATATAATTACACAAGAGAGTAAATAGGTATCTAATTGATATTTTCTTGTTTACTTTTAAATTCAATTAGTTTGCTTTAAACTATAATTTAAAAGAAATGTAATTATTTTCTATGTGCTTTTGTCTTCATTAAAAATATTAACTGCCTCTGGGTTACAGTAGAAGTGTTTTCACATTGGTTGATATTTGCAATCAAGGCTGTACTCTTTCAGAATGTTCTAGGAGATATAATTATGCAGAAAACAAGCTCGGCTCCCATCATGGGCAGAAAATCCACCTTTTTCTTTTTTTTTTTCTTTCTTTTTCTATTTTGGTTTTGGAGATTGAACCCAGGGTATTTTACTACTGAGTTACATCCCCAGCCATTTTTCATTTTGTATTTTGAAAAGGGTTTTGATAATTTGTTGAAGCTGGCCTCGAACATCTGATCCTCAGCCTCCTGAGTCACTGAGATTACAGTGGTGTGAGCCACCAGACTGGCCCCAATTTTCTGTTTTTGAAAATTCACAGAAAGATGGGCACAGTGGCATATGCCTGTGATACCAGAGGCTTGGGAGGCTGAGGTAGGAGGATCTTGAGTTCAAAGCTAGTCTCAGCAAAAGCGAGGTGCTAAGCAACTCAGTGAGACCCTGTCTCTAAATAAAATGCAGAATAGGTCTGGGGAATCTGGCTTAGTGGTTGAGTGCCCTGAGTTTAATCCTGTGTAACAAAACAACAAACAAAAAAAATTCACAGCAAGTCTACTACCCCTATATTTTGTCAAATCTACATGTTATCAGTGTCCACTTAGTCTGATTTTTAAAGCCGCAGGGATTTCTGTAATCCAAGGGAGCTACTAGAGAGAAGTTTGGTATCAGTGGGGATGTCCTGAAGCTCTGGGGTAATTTAAAGATGTTCCCTAGGAGGTACACCATCATCCATTTGAATAGTGGGTCAGATCTGTAGCTGACCTGATAATGGAGTCTGGGGAGGGAGAGACGAGGGTGCAGTTTTTCTAAGTATCTATGTGTGCTAGCAATTTGGTCTCATTGGCTTGCTATAAATGCTATGAATGGTGTACAAGAGGGAAAATTATAGGGATCAATATTGTTTGCCATACCACTGATTCAGTAGCCAAGGAAGGAAATTGTTTTAACTCTGAAATGAATGACAACAAATTTGTTGTGGCTGGCAACAAAAAATTATATTTTATTTACTAACTTGGGCATTAAAAGATTTAAAATTCATACTGACTCTTTGGGGAAAAGTTTATAAATAAAATGTTTCAATAATGTGAATAGTTTTCCTAAACTTGCATGACAATGTATATGCAGGCCCCGCCACAGGAAAATGTGAGTTATTATATATATAATTAGCGACATTTAAACAAATAGAAATTACTAATGCTGGTGAGTAATCACTGGGGATCAGGTGCGTATAACAAGGTGGATTTACATAGTAATTACACAATTAGATGGCCGTGCCCAAGGTCTGCAAAATTTTTGAAGTACAATTCAGTGATTTGAATATACTTACAATTGT